AAAATAGCACTCGCGTGTACAATATATGTTATATATGTTACTATATAACAAAGCCAGGTAACATAGACTGACCTATATTTCATAAAAAAACCACTTTAAATCCCTCTACCCACTTAATCGGTATGTTCATGCATTTTGTAAGCCATAGATCTAGAAGACCAAATTTTTAATTGAAGTTTAAGCAGTTTCCGATAAGTTAATAATTCGATACATATTGATATGCCTATGTGTTCTACTTTAACCCCATTGAAAGATTGATAAGGGAAGTAAGAGACAAATTTCAATTTAATATTGTTTGTTTTGATCGTTAACTATTTGCTTTAACTCATTTACCCCTGAACACACATTTGAACTTTTCCAATTCGAAGGTTGGAATAGCCAATTATGAAATTACAGGGGTGAATGGGTTTATAACAGGTTTTTTTAGCAGAATTGTCATTTTAAGAACTTATATATGTTATTCACTGAATAGTTCTTGTTAATGAACAGCTAATTAAGGAATAATTGTGTAGTACGTGTTAACACTTTTAACGAACAGCATGAAGAGATAAATGGATAAACAAAGATGGAGATTCTGAGAATAAAGGGAGGAAAAGAGGAAGGAAACAAAATGAAAGAAAGTGAAGAAAGGATATGGGAAAAATGGATTCCCAGATAAAATAAAATTGCAGTAGGAAATCGGAAAGACCAAGGCAGGAGGAGGACCAAAGACAGGAAAGGGAAAGGAGGAGTGATGGAAAGAAGTAGAAGAGTTGTAAGATACAGGAAGCATTAGTTTACATATATGTACAATATATAACACCATTATTATGGTATATATTAACAGAATCCGTGATATTATATCTAGTATGTCAACAATGGCAATATATATATCGAGTGTTTCATAACGGCAAACATGGCATGAAAGACAATCTTGGACATAGTAAAATACAAAAAAAAAAATATATGAAACATATCATAAATAAATGAGGACAAAAAATACCATGAGGAAGCAATAGAATAAACGGAAAGACAATGTAAACCCAAACAAAAATGACAGGAAATTACAGTGCTCTCAAATGTTCTACGTTTTGCATGTCACGTGACATGGTGTAAGAGTAGTTTCCACTTGTCAGTATATCATACTTATTTGAGAAAATTGCAGGGCATCAAACCTTATTACGTAGCTCTTTATATTATTTTTGCCGGGATCAAGTGGGCGACTGTAGAGCCGAAAAAATCAGAGCGAAAAACCCCACGATAAATGCACAAATAGGATGAAAACAGCTAATGAGTTGGTTTTTTTTTATCAAAATATAGAAAAAAAATGAAAAACAATTCCATCAATTTACAAAAAAATATCATGCAATCATACGTCTTTTCAATATCACAGAAATTATGACTTCATTACTGTGGATTTTCCGTGATTACCAAATGAAAAATAAATTTCACAAGGTGTACCTCATTATTCTTCCTGGGTCTATCGAGAAAGCCATAAATAAACCTGATAAAAAGAGGACCTAAGGGCTGCTATCATCCACTTGTTGTGTGTTTTTATCTTAACAATAAAGTTGAAACATGAGATAAAACAATAACAACAAAAACCTTTGTCCTGAGTCAAAAATGATTCACTTAATCAGATGCGAGGGTTTGAAACTATCTAAACTGCCTTGGATTATGAAACATCTTGAGACCTTTGGTCAGGGCCATGAGATGTTAAAGTTGGTCGGGTATAGAACTTGATATCCAACATGTCTCTGGCCTATTCAACCACATCCCTCTGCTCGCAAGGTGGCCATGCATTTCATTGAAACAACCATTTTATTCTTCATATTATATATTTAATTCAAATATAACAAACCCTATTTAAAGAGTATTTTTTTCTCAATTTCTCCTATCATGCCCTGGTTTTCTTTTCCTAGGATGGCTTCATCCTTCATTGAAGCGAAAATAAAATCGGTTGACCAAGGGTCAACATGAGAAACAAGCTTAATTAGTAAAATACATCCATTCACCCTATTTGGACCTGTCCATTTTTTCCTAGGGGATTCTCAGCACTATATTTGCACAGCAAGAGTACCATACGCCTAGGGATGTTTCATAAGAATCAGTCAAACCAATTCAGTACTTCTGGAAAACTAGTCTTTTTAAAAAAAGTTGAAAACAGACAGAAGTGTGTTACTTATGAAAACATAATATGCACCTGCAGTTTGCACCAGATGAGATAAAAGTTACCTTTGAAAAACATCATCATTCTAAATATAGTAAAATATGCACTTATATATGCTACAGGTGGAATACACAGTAAATACAGTTGTGTTGAAGCTTACCATAATATAGTACAAATTGTTCATTCAGGAATGCACAGAAAATCTTAATATTCATCAGTATATAATTATTGTAATTTACATATAGATGCATGTAAAAATAATCAAAAGCTATCACAATAGTTCAAGGAAATGTTCATCATCGACGGAATATGGTACAACTGTCATGGATAGAAAATAGTTTGTGAATAATTAAAAAGCACGTCTACAGCTTTTCTGAACACACAACATTAAGACTACCTGTACCTTTATGGAAATTAACTGTTGATGAAAAACTGGAAAGATCTGTTCCTTTATCATCAAACACCTAAACATTCAAGCTAGCTCATATCACAATAAAACAACAGGAAGAAGAATACTGCTGAGTACGGGAGGCATGCTTTTGAAACTCGACATACAAACTATTTTAATATCAACTTATTTAATTTATATAATTGTGAGGATATTGTTTTAATTTTATCTAATTATGAGGATATTTGTTTTAATTTTATCTAATTGTGGGGATATTTTTTCAATTTTATCGTAATTGTGAGGATATTTTTTCAATTTTATCGTAATTGTGAGGATGTTTTTTTAATTTTATCTAATTGTGAGGATGTTTTTTTAATTTTATCTAATTGTGAGGATGTTTTTTTAATTTTATCTAATTGTGAGTATGTTCTTTTAATTTTATCTAATTGCGAGGATATTTTTTTAATGATTGATATTTTTTCTACCTATATGTATATATACAGTATATACACAAAGCTATCAAAAAAAGAAATAACTGAACCTGACAAAATATCAAAAGTTTAACATATGTACAGTATATGTGTTATTTTGCAGACACAATAATAACTCTATGTTAATATCATACTATACAAGATACATCTAGAGTACAGCTTTGATTTATGTCAATTTTGCATTTGTTTCGGTAAATCATCATCTCTACAGTGTTAGAATAGCAGGATTTGGGGATAAGTGAGTATATATAACTACTGGACTAGATATATTCGTTGTCATATTATATTTGTTTATTTAATTTGTAAAAAAAAATCTGTTGCAAAAATAGTGGTGAATACAGCATACAGTTATGTAACAACATTGTATCACGTATAAACACTGACCAGGGCTTAATTTTCCAGAGCCTTGTCAGCTTGATCCAATGTCAGTTTAGGTTTTTTTAAGCTGACAAAGTTTTGACCTATTGAGCCCTGATGTAACAATGATATGTGTTTTTGATATTTGAGCAAATAGCAATAGCTGAGATTTAAACCATCAATTCTGAAAAGTCGTTTTTAATTTTCAAGCCATTCTTCCTAATAGTTTTGTAGTCTTGATTTTTCATGTTTAATCAATTATCACCTTCAGAGAAAATGTGTGATAACTAATAAAATCTGTAACAAATTTCCTGTTCGCAGTTTTTCATGGAAGCATAATTCAGTTAATCTATCAGACTAGAGCAGGTCTTCATCAGTACTTTATTGCTAAATGAAAAATTTGGAGTTCTGCACAAAGGATTTCTTTCATACTTTATTTTAAAATCCAACTTAACTTGACAGCAAATTGTGGACAATATTTCTTTTTAACTGATCAATAAGTTAGTTATCAATTTTGACAAATAAAATGATAATTTCTTGTGCTTTTTTACATTTAAGGAATGCATAGATCACAGAATAAATTTGTATTAAAATAAACTGTTATAAAAGTTTTGAAAATGAAGATTTTGTTTTGAAATAATATATTTTGAGCCATTTTATTAAAAACATTGTGACACACTCACTGTAATTTAGTGTACAACATTGTTTGTGTCCAATTTGAGTTATAACTATTAAATCTGTTAAAAGTATCATAACTATTTCACATCAAACACTTTGTCTGGCAGTTGATGTGGTATTGTGGACCTTTCCACCCGAGTAGATACCTACAAAATGTTGTAACAACTGTAGGTACCATCAGTAGTACAAAACTTACACATATCCCGTAAAGAAAAGTACCGGTGTGTTTACAAATGAGACAACTCTGTCCAAAAACACCGGTTTTACACTAACATCAAATGTGACAAGAAAATGTTAAATTCCTTATCATAATTGATAGAAACTCCTTTTCATATTAGGTTTTAAAACCAGTTTTCAAATATACAACCAGTAAAAATTACTGGACTGAACAGGTCTATGAGCAGATTATAGTAACGTTTATTGTCATGGCTTCGAGGGTTCATTTTGATGATTTAGGGTGTTATTAGACAATGGACCAAACTGCTGTTGAGAAGAATGCTTTACTGCTCTAGATTTGCTTTATTATGAATATATGGAAATACATTTAAATTTCACATTTTTATAGAGAAAAAGCTTTTCTGTTAATGTCACATTTTGTTTGATATCACATTTTCCTTTGACACATAAACATAGCAATAAAAGGAATGCACCTTACTTGTTCTATAAGCAAGATACCATTAACTGTTTTCTGAATAAGTCAGGTTTATCTGTATTAATTGATCTGGCATTAAAGACTTTCTGAGTTACAATTTAGATTGTTTTATAGTTAACTGAATACAAAATCAATAAACAATTATTCACTAGAGAATACATCAACTACAATTATGTAAGATTTCAAATTGAAAACAATTCTATCTAAAATGTTTTAGCATTTAAATATAGACAGAATAATATAATTCTTGCAAAAAAAAAAAAAAATATATTGAATTATGTTCTAACAAATATTTTTTCACAAATTGTACACACGAGTTGATACAGTACATACATACTGATAAGCTCTGTCCAGACATCCATTACAAAGTTTCAATCTGAAAAAAATGAAATAAAAGCATATTGATTTATCATGTGTATGTCTTTGGGATCCTCGAATGCTGATAATTTGAGTCCAGTTACAAAAGGTGATGTTGACCTTGGATACAGGTACTGTTTACAGGATAATATTTAATGTATACAGTATAAAATATACCATTTACAGGATTATACATGTGTATACTGTATACAGGAGAGGAATGTCTAGATATGTTAGTTTTCTCGGAGTTCTCCGGTTTCCACCCACATTAAGACCCCTTGGGCACTGACATCAAGGCCAACAAGAGTGATTAATATAAGTTGAAATAACTTGTTTCATAATTGTTCTAAAATAGTAAGTTTATATATCTAATATAAATAAGTGTCTCTTGTTATAAAAACGTTTGTAAAAAATATTGCAAAATGAAGACTTTTGTTTAATTAGCCCTTTCAACTCTATGTTACTTAAGTAGACTCTACCATGCATTGATCTGGTTAAGTCCATCTTGGTCTACAGTGGTGAAAGGGTTAATATCTATAATCTAGTTTTTTGATATTCATAAATATAAATCTACAAATTCAATGGTACATGATTTATTTTTTTTAAATGAAAATAACACAGTGAAATTATTGCTGCATACCGTTATTAGTTTTATATATATATATAGCTTTTTTAATTGATTTTAATAGTAAATTGATATTTTAAAATGTTATATTTGTTCTTCAAATTTGAAGTTGCATTTTGATCGATGAACAATAAATAGCCATTTATTTCCAAATTTATGGTTTATGATGAAATCACAAATGTAATGTCACAATCACCACAATGGTTTAATGGTGTTATGGTCTCATAACTCACAGCTGACTTATGAATGTTTATAGATCAGCAATGAGTTATCTACCTTTAGATACCAAAACATGATAAGCTGTCCTCTTGCAACACATCTTTTAAATAAAAATAAATAGCTACATTCTTTTTCTATTTAGTGTGTGTGTTTGTGATTTTGTCTTTATTTCCTTTGATTAATTAAGAACTAATTAACGCTCCTGATCATATCTGGAATAAAATGAAACATGATAATAAAATTTGAACAAATGAAGCAATTATTTCATTACAGCTATTTTACAACTTTCCACCAAATATCTCCAATTTGGGCCAGGATGTCCATAATTTAGATGACCTGATGTTCAATTGAGTTAAATCTATAGGTACATTTTTCTCACCTTTGTTCAAATCGCCTCTATTCCTTCTGCTACGTGAAACCACCATTGTCATAGTGACTAGGGGCAGCCATCGCCATGGCACCCTGAGCCTCATTTCTCGTGAAACCACCATTGTCATATTGACTAGGGGCAGCCATCGCCATGGCACCCTGAGCCTCATTTCTATTTCTGTTGTCATTGTTGGGGACATTGTTGACCGATTCCCAGCTGATTGGCCCTGCTACATTAATATTGCCATATGCTGATACCCCTGAAAGTAAGAATCAAAAAAATAATTGCAGATTGTTGTTTGAATAAGTATTGTAAATATTTAATTTAATGAAGTTAGTGTTTTTTTATCAGCATATTTGACAACATGAAAAAAATGGGAGAAATTAAGATATCAGAAAAACTGTTGATAAATTAATATATATATATATCAATTACTTCTTATGTGCCTACGACATACATCCATTATATACCAGTATACGTATCAAAGCACTGATTATAAACAGTACTACCTACACCATACCTTAGTGCAAAGGAAGAAAGATAAGGGGAGACAATCTGTGATTAATCAACTCTAACCTTCTATAATTTTTCACATTAAAAAAAAAATGACCAATAAAAATGTGTATATATATAATTTAATTCAACACTTTCTATGAGCAAGTATACAAAATATACTTCAGAAAAAAACATGATTTTATAATTAGCACTGCAGCTGCATAGATTATATCAGGACAAAATGGGAGGCTGAAATTACACTGTAGTTTATATATATATATATATAGACTGTAATTAGTATGATATCAAACAGTTTTGCTAATATGTATGTAGAAGTTGTGCATGAATGCTCATTCTAAAGTTTGAAATCTAACAAAAAAATCTTTTAAAGTTGTAGCTGTATAGGCCTAGTTTTCTTTTAACAGATTTCTGGATTACATAGGGAAAAACGAATGTCTATATATATATCTTGATACAGATACCAAGTTCCTCAAAGGTTTTACTGCAGATCCTTGAAATGTTATTCCAATTTTTAAACAAGCACTGTTCATGCATATATGGTAGTCATTTTTTCCTTCCAGAGACATCATGTAAGGACTTCAAAACATTGCCACTTTTTGAAGAGATATATATATAGCAATATGGCTTTTTACAGGATCAGGCTATAAGCCTAAAGATACATTTAGAGTGAATAAAAAAAAGGTTACAGACATTTTAAGGGAGGTTATGGATATGTAGCTGGATTTTTTTATTACCTGTTCCCATCACACCTGTTGTAATTGTGGGGATAGCGTTGAGTTCTGTTCCTCTCAGAGCACGACGTCGCTTTCTTATGGCACGGAAAATCAACAAGACACTAATGATTATTAAAACGGCAAGTAACGCTACTGTAATAGCGGCTATCGTGTCAGTCGAGTTATCACCAACCATCTCTGGGGGATTGTAATTCCTCGGGGGTCCATTATTGCCGGGAGTGGTGGTGGGGACGTCGGAGGGGTTGGGTGTTGTTGGGGTATTTGAACCCTCTTGCCCTTGATTGGAGCTAGGGTCGACGACATCGCGTTGACGCCTCATTTATGTTGAAATGGCAAGTTATATCGTTCAATACAATAAGTAATAGAAGTGTATTTCTGCAGGTTTGGTTCTAACTTCATTATCAGCATTAACACCTACATATGCTGATGGGAAATTGAACAAGCAAATTTGTATCCATGTCGCATGCAGACATATTTTAACGCAAGTCCTGCAAATAAAATATATATATATATATTAGAACTTAAACAAATTCGTGTAACATATGTTCAATGTCCATCCTTGAAAAAAAATCTGCTTACTGTAAAGTTCATTTCCACAATTAGTGAAGCGTAAAATTTATATGTGATTTCCAAAAATGATTAAAAAAGATAACTTACTAGGATGAGTCATGGAATATAATTTAGCCTTACACTTTTACAATATATGTCTTCTAGCTTTTATGACCACAAAATAATCTGGTTAACCACGGAATTAGATTAGTCCGTGGGTTAACTAGTTCCATAATTTAATTGGAGAAATAAGGTCAATATATATTTTTTCAGCTTTACATATTTTTTAAATACCACGTCCAAAGTATAAGTGTGTAAGGGCCGGGGGAACGAAGCCCGCCAACAGACCCCATTTCAACAAATATAAAGCAGCTACGGTCTGAAGGCAGTACACATGTAAATTGACTCTTGAGTGAAATTATTCTGAACTGGAAATTAAATCACTCGATCGTAAAACATGTGTTCACATACTTTTTGTGCTATATTTCAATTCTTCATCGCAGGATATACGAACTGACTACATTTATGTGACTTCTGACAGGTGATAAACTCGTTACACTCCTACCTTGGTGAATATTCACAGAAATGACAGTTAATCACATGTTTCCAAAGTTAAGGTTCTGTTTATTTACCTGTGAGATTTTCACCTGTACAAACCGGAAGTGGACATTTTTTGAATAGCGCCACCTTGTATGATAAAAGGATCGACAACTTTTGATAAAAAAAATAATTGCTTATTGCACTGTTTCAAAAAGGCGAGCAGAATATTATAATTCAGTACGGCAGAGACGTATTATACGTCTCTGAGTACGGTCATGATCGATATAAATTTCAGTCTAATGCAAAGATAATGTTATTGCCATATCTAAAAATGTCCAATTATAAAACTTGGATCGATCAATGGTTTTTTCGCGATTAATTTTGACCGTACGCGTGTTAATGACGCTGTTATGCAAACATTTAACTGGTAAACGGATTTGACTTGAAGTATTTGTATCTTTCGCTGGTATATACAACGGTGTAATTATACAAAAAAAAAAAAAAAAAAAAAAAAAAATGGCACGGACTTAGCTAATTCCGTGCTTTTGGAGATTTAAAAGAAACGGTTACAAATCAAAATAAATGTTTCTGTATATTCCTATGTAAAGAAGATTAATAGAGAGCATAAAGGCTTAAAGCTCCGCACGGGAAGATTTTTCTCCCTATTTTAATAACGGCCTTTTTATAATCAGATCTATAGCACAGACACAAATCCCACGGCTCTCTCCAAACCTGCGATTGAATTGCATGCACTCGGATGCACCTTTCAGTGGCTGGTTTCAATTATCTAAACAAGACCAAATAACATGTCTGTTTTGATTAGAACACTTTGTTCTTTGTTCGATCTTTAGGTAGGGAGACGCACAATATCGCATTAAGGTTACTTAACTCCTTAAAGTTATGCATTGTCAGTAAATCCACGGACTTAGATAATCCAATCCGTGGTAAATCGGAATATAAAGCAGGAAAGAAAAACCGTGCGGTACAATATATAGTATCTACTTTATGTAACCGAGAACTTGAATATAAATTATTATGGTTTGTTTCTATAAAACATAATTTAGATATGTTTCGTGACATTTCGTGAAGGGGTGGGGTAGACTGCAGAGTGTTTTTTCAAACAAGACTCCGTCATTTTTGGAGGTGCAAAATATATATTTATCATTTAGTGATCTGGTACTTGGACAGATTTAGAAAGGGCATTGCCGCCGTAGGCTCAGAAGAGGCTCGGAATACTTGATAAAGCCTTAAACATCAACATTTTAACTTGACATCTATATTTTTATAAATCAGAAATATAACCGTTCGCTCCGCTCGACTTTGAAAAGTACCTCTTTTTAAGAAAGACATTTTCCCGCTTCATTCCGCTCGGTAATTGTCGGCCTTACCAACGTCAGTGATTGAGATAAGTATAGTTGTTTAATCAAATATAAATATTTCATAGACTATCTACTCATAATCTAAACGCTCGGCAATTATTTTTGATAAGATAACTCGATTTAATTGTACTGTTTCCACAGTACACTTTCTAAGGTTAGAACTATCAACATCAACAAGAAATAACATGGTCTGTAATTTGGTTAAAAACTATAATGCATAGAACATATTTTTATTCCAAACAAATTGTAGCGAAATATGTCATCTATAGTTAGGACCTAGACCGTGAACTTCTTCCACGTGCTCCCTAACTCCAATTCTTAGATCAGGAATAACCACGTAGACCGGATTGTCGTCCAGGGTTGAAACTTTTACTCAGTGAGATGACGTGCACTTTAAGCAGGCCCTTAATGGGCCTATCATTTGTAGACACCAACTATACAAATGACCGTGCCGCTTTATTTATTTTCTCAAATTGCTTGAGATTTTCCTCAATTTTGAGACGTTTTTGAGTGGACCCGTATCATATACTCCCTTTGAGATCCTCATTTTTTTTACGACTAAAACAAAAACCTGTGGTATGGATTGATGGCCGAAGACAATTTACATATCTCATGACATATTAGTTTCTAAACGAAGAAATGAAAACTGAAAGTAATTTACCTTAATGATGCATGATCTCATAAAGTTGCTTAGCAAGGGACTGGTGGTGGAGAGAAGGGCGTTTATGGCGCAGAATAGACTTGACTTCACGAATAATTAAATTTGAAATCTAGCAATACAAAACCTATAGGAATCTATATAATAAGGTATAGAGTGCAGATATACTTTAAATGCTTTAAACACCTGTGTTTGAAGTCGAATATAACTTTCAATTATTTAACAGACCAATTGAATTCATTAACTTAAAGGCAGCTTAGAGCTAATTAATCTGTATGCCTACAGCACACTTTGGATACTAATTTAACTATGTATTAATACATGTCCATTGTCTGTATAGTTCTTACTATACCATGATAAGAGAATTACACCGCCAAACCAAGATTCGAACTCTGGACCTTCGAGCTCTGTGTATTCTATAGGAACATGTGTTTAAAGACAACTAGTCTACGAGGGCACTCTAACCAGTTAAACTACTTGATCGCTGGCAATTGACCCAGTTACATGCATGATCCGTTACATTCCTCCCTCCTTTTCAACTCTTCGCCCCCGAAGATAACACTATATACAACCCTTGTTCGGGTAACTTCTTGCCAAAGTACACCATGTACTTGTAAGAAGGGTGGGCAAGCTCGCCAATTTTGTAACAGGAGAAGAAAAATACATGACCAGACATGGCCGGAAATCGAACCCGGGACCTACAAACTTTAGACAGACACTCTAACCAATTGAGCTACCCGGACAACAGCAATTGACCAAGATCAGTTTCGCTACACTACTTTACTTAGTTTGAGGAGGAATTGTCATGTATCCAAACACAGGAATCGCATGGCACTGGTACAATCTTCAATCAATCAATATGGGATTTCGAAGCATAGAAAGTCGTAATAAGATATTTTTCAATGATATCTGTATTGTATTTACTTACTTTTATACCATTATTTATAACTGCTATTTACACATTGATATTGCTGCATACAAAGTTTAAATCAAAAACAAAATGTTTTCAAGAAATTTATATATCACAAATATTTTCCACTTCTTGAAAATCCCATTTTTATGCACTCTTTAGTCTGAACAATAAATGATTCAACTGTTTAAAACTATAAAAAACACAATTAATGCCGAGGGCAATCTGCCCTGATGTTTAATTAATAAATGTACAGTATGTAAGAAACCACATGATGTGCCAATCAGTTACGCTTTCGTGACGTATATATCTACAGCCGTTCCCACAAACATTACTGCAAAAACAATAGCTCTTATCAATAATATTTATTTACACCACGTCCTATTAAAACGATGCTGTATTTGTTTTGGTCAGATACGTGAGATTCTTTATTACTTCACGGCTTAGAACTTTTATTTATGAGGGGGATTTACGTAAGATTTTACTAGTTTCATAGTTCATTTTTTTCTTGTTAATTAAACTGTCACTGAAAGAAAGAAAAAAATTGAATCCATTGTATTCATAAGGCTACACACTGACAATTTTTATCGGCGAAAATACTCCCTACTTAGTTTTCTGCGTCTGTCAGAATAATAATTATCAATATGTAAAATAGTTACGTTCTAATGTCGAGTGTTGCGTGTATGAAGGGGCGTGCTGTTTGTTGTGTAACTGTTTGTCTACGTGCTTACGTCCTCATATAGATATACATAATTGGTTTGTGTTGCATACAATGAGATTAAATAAACTGAAAAATACAGTTAAATACCCCCAGCTTTTCCCGCAAAATGCCGATTTTCTAGTAATATTATGATTTCCGAAATACACTATTAAGATACCTTATTTTATGATAACTTTGATAATATGAATTGGTTAGTAAAATGAATTTTCAATTGATTCTGTGTGTCTGCAATTTATTCAGTTAAGTCATTGTGTTTTAATTTAAAAAAAAAATGAAAACAATGTATGAAGCATTATAATGCTCGTTAGTTTAACATACTTGTAAAGGGTGTCGCATGTATCAACTACGCATATCTTTTTTCCACGATAATATAGCCATTTTAAATTAAGATATTGTTTTTTAATACAATATGTTTAAAATCTATATCTTATGGATTATTATACACTGGATTTTAGGATTTCACCAAGAACGTCAAATGTATCAGTCTGACTGTGTCGCTTTAACGTGCTGTTTAGAAATTCACCTGTACGATTGTTTATGTTAATTGGTATGTAGCTGGCCCATTGTTTTCAGAAATAAACCTATTAACATTCGTGAGTAACCGCAGATTTATCACCGAATGACAGGGATAGGTAAAACCACGGACTTCAGGTCGAGTTTCGTGGTAAAACCGAAATACGTAAAAAGTGAACGTAAAAATGATACATCTACCATAACGTCATTTAATCTATACACAAACGGAATTTCCATACATTTTTAATAAGAAAGGTTACGCATTTTTCGTAATGATATCGAAAGTAAATTTCCGGGACTATAAACTATATAAAAGGAGCCGTACGACGCTGAGGGTTAAACTGAACCACGACAGGCAAAGATCATCTTCCTGAACAAGAACTCCGGCGACACTAAGAAGACCATGTTGTTTCTACATGTAGCTCTGATCCTAGGGGTGCTGAGTCAACATGCTTCCCAGCTAACCCATGGCGCCGTTTTGGGTGCGCCCGAAGTTCCCTATACCGTTCTCGGGACAGATGCAGCAAACAATCTGGTCATAGAGGGCACTACTCGTCCCCTCGGCGGCGCCGCCGCCTCAAACAGTCTGGTCATAGAGGGCGTTGACGTAAATACCTTGTCTACCGAAAACCTGGAAAGTTTCTTGACGGCTTTGGATGAAAAGTTTTTCGGGGAGTTAGGTAAGGCGTTTTCCTTATTATTTATAAAGAATAACCATTATTTTTGTAACTCTAACGTTTTGTACTACCCTCTGCCCTACTCCAAAACAGTTTTTGTTTGGGGGTTCCTTTAATCCAAGTATGTTAACCTTTTTTTGGTATTTGATAGTAATGTTTCAATACAATTACTGTGATAAATGACATTCATCTCAGATATCTGAAAAGTCAGTGTTTTTTTTTATAAAGTTATAATGAAGGATGTTTCATATTTTGTAGATATCGAAGTTGGAAAGCATATATTGGGAAGTGTTGCTACCGGAGGTAGGGCAAAGAGATGGGTCCCACTTGTTGCGCGTGGGGCGTTCGCTTTAGGGCGTGGTCTATTCAGGGCACTGTCCCGCGCAAAGCCGTCAAGAAGTGCAGGGAAACTCACCCGCCAGTACGATAGAAAAGGCAACTTCCGAAAGGCAGTCAGTGACTTCCACAGACTGAAGCCAACAAATGTCAAAAGGTTCAAAGGAAAGGTGAGTTTTTGTACACATACTGCTACTATTCACTTACAATAAATTCATACATAAATAACGTCTTTCGTGTTAGCCTACCATCGTATGAGTGCTGTGATTTGAAGTGTGATTGTGTTTTGTATATAACCCTTCTTTTGCTATGAATAATCTCTACACTATTTGTCCATATTTTTCAGCTTTCATGCCAACTATAAAACAGAGAGGTGTTGGTTAATTAACTGTCAGTTTAATAACTTCTGACACTTTCATCAGTTAAAATCATTATCTCTAGAACGTGACGGTCACAATATTACAGACATTCATCCGCAATGTAGAATCAAACTGAATGCTTAAATTTACTAGCGGTCATCTTTACCAACACAGTCGAAAAATGCCAACTTGTTTTGAAGTGTTATAAAATTCAATGTACGCATTGTAAACAAAGAATAAATTTGTTTTTGCATATAATTAGCAAATTTTCACTTAAATCAAAATCCTACGTGGTCTGGTTGTTTGTTTGAAAACAGAGCTGTCAATTGCTCGAAAACATTATGAAATGGTAAAGAAAGATTTGTTTGATGTGGTTAACCCTCGTTAATTAATCTAAAACTTTGAGAAAAATAATGTTTTGAACATCAATATTTTGTTTTCTTTTAACGATTGAAAATCAATTAACTCGAATAAGATGAACATGGTAAACAATGGTCGCTTATTGTTATATATAACTCGCATTATCATATCAAGGCCTTGTTCTTCAGGATCCCACATTTATATGTCAGAAGTTAGAACTTAGTTGCAGCTTCATAATTAGTGTGCCTATGCCTTATTGGATTATTTTTATCTGATATTATCTAAGTAGCGATGTAACTCTGTCCACTTTTGACACTTTTTTTCTGATTTTCCGTAGGATGGTCTGGTTGGTTTGGAGGGACGTATGGGGAAAAACACCGTCAAAGTAAGGTCGACCAGTTCCGGGAATCGCCCTACTCTTGAGGTGTACAAGACTGACAAGGCCGCTAGAAAAATCCTCCGAAAAGTTAGATACAACAGGAACAACTAAAGACAGTCTCACATCGGGCTGTTCCCGTTAGCTAGTAACTAACATGATAATAAAAATAGTGTTTTTGCAAAGGCAATACGTCAAAAGTAAAAGGAGGATAAAGATTACCGATCCGATATCTCATAAAAGTAGTGATATCAGCAAAAAAAAATAAACATTTTTTTAATTTCATTTTCTTCAATGTTTAATAGAAATCCATAATCCATACTTTCAAGCTAAGAAGTACCCAATATCTCGAGCGTACCCATTCATCTTGCTGTTTCAAAATTGCTGTCTTCATTGTAAGTGATATGTTGTTATACGGTAAATATTATCTCATTATGACGTTGGAATCCTGGTTGTGTGTTATTGTATGTTAATACAACAACGATTACTTACATTTACGACAACTACCGGTTGTATTGTTACCGGAAAGGTAATATCTGTTGCGGTGACTTTTTTTTATCTGAAGCGTCTGAGAAATTAGCCGATTATTTTCACCAGGGTTTTCTTTCAATGAATTGATTTGTGTGTTTATGCTTCTTTGTAGTGTTTTTGTCTCTCTCTCTCTCTATTTCGTATGTTTCATATGGAGCTTTCCCGAGTGATGAAATACATATTTGTATTTTTATATCATAATTCATTGTAACACCATTTAAAACATCTACTTTAAAGAGGAAGCAATAAATTTATTAAAAATATGTAATCGTGTTAGTATTGTTCTTATTTTAACGTTTCAGTTCTCGTAGAACCTGCCACTTGGTGCATGAGGAGGAGTATGAAACATGGCACTGTTGATTTCTGTCTCTGTTTGAAAATTGCCCTAGAAAAATCGTAGAATAATGTCTTTACTTACACTCATTAATTAAAGGAAATGATGAACATGACCAACTCATAGAAAAATGCATTGTTTGTCAAATGATTTCTACAATCGTCAAATCCCGATGTGAGAAAGAGTAAAAATGGTATTTTACAAAACACAGAGAGGAAAAAACATTCTGGTTTCAATACGTTTCAACCGCTAGAACAGCACTATCCTCATTTTTAGAAAGAAAAAAACCCTCTAGCGAGGAAGAAAATTATACGAGTTTTAATCACATTATGCTTAGTAATGATCTCGAGGCGAAGAGCGTAAACAAACGATTGCTGACGTGATGAATAAAAAAGCTTTTGCCAAATACTAGCTTGCTTCTACTGATATACAGTAAACCCTTTTTTGATCTATTTATAAAACATTTCACTAACCCCGTAAATCTATAACACTGAACTAACGATTAAATTTGCATTAGTTATGCACTGTAGAGTCTCGTATATATACATCTACACACAAAACTACTTTTACCTATATACTGAGCAGCCTTTTAATTAAATCCAGTCTCAATAGAAATTCACGATTTCTAGGAAACCATGCAAGGTATCGGGACAAATGAAGCGAAACTGTGTCATCTTTCCGAGTCTAATGACTTTCGGAGTTCCCGTCCTATCTATAAATACGCCCGCACTCTCAGTAAAACCCTGAAGAGATAACAAAATGAAAATATAGATGGACTCTCCAACTGCATTGTTAATAATCTCCCTAACATCTTTCTCTTGGACAAGATGTACGTATATATACATTTCGTGAAATCGGACGAAAATAGCGATCATATACCGGAAAAGTTTTTTTTATTTTTATAAATAACGTGTTTTGACATGATGCATCAATATATCAAATGCAAAAGAAATGTTCAGAAAGAATTTTCCCCCAGAGAATCAAAACCAAGTTAAACGATACACTGTATTTTAATTCAAAACAATGACAAGCACCAGGCTTAAAGAAAACGAGGAATATAATGAAACTGATAAGACAACATCAAAACATAAACGTGATGACAACAGTGAAGAAAACCCAACAAATCACGAGAGTCTGCCGGACTAGCGGGCTAGAGTATGTTTACATAGAACAGCATACATCAGAAACTTTGCTGCACTATGTTTATATTGTTTACACTGGATCGTTGTAACTTGCATCGCGTTGAGAGCAGCAAGTGTCCGGCTTCTCGCTGAGGTATGGTCCGTGACTTATTTGTAGTTGGTCGAAGGTACTTTGGAAGCTTTATTGGGCACTTTGGAAGCTTTATTGGGTACTTTGACGGCTTTATTGGGTACTTTGGAAGCTTTATTGGGTACTTTGACGGCTTTATTGGGTACTTTGGAAGCTTTATTTCGTGGTTTGAAGCATGCACTTGCTTGTTTGAAACATGTGTTTGGTGTTTGAAGCCTCAAATTGGTTATTTGAAACATGCAATTGGTTGCTCGAAGCCTGCAATTGGCTGTCGTGACAAACATTTGGATGTCTGAAACTTATATTTCGTTGTTCGTAGCCTGTACTTGATTGGCTGGAACATGTAAATGTACTTAGATCACTGAAACTGTCACTTGGCCATGGTTTGCTGTAGTTATTACATGGCTTATTACAATTGTTACTTGGCACAAAACAGTTCCAACTCGTAAAGTCCATGTTGTTTCCGACATTGTAACAGCTTGAAGCCGGCTGACTACAGATGTTGGTTCTTGGTCGATTTTGGTTGTAACAGATCTTACATTGTCGGTCATAAATACAAACTAAGACACCGTCCACGTCTTCTTCTGATTTACCTGGCTGTCTGTCTGTTGATTCTACAGCTTTTGTCACTTTCTGTTGCTCGTCCACTTCTTGTCTAATAAAAGTTAACCAGTCATTGATTATATCGCCTAGTTTTGGACCCTTCACATTTATTGGACATGGAGGTTCCTGACGTTTCTGAAATGTAAAATTGAAGTTACACGCATCTATCAATCAACGCATTAGGTCCGTCACTTTTTTCTTAGACTTTTTATCATCATCGCTTTCCCAATATTACCATCTGCTGAGGTACTATTCATTTCCTCGAAATATTTCTGAAGAATTTTAATCGTTTACTTATTTGAACATTGAAGAGATGAAATAGCAACGCATCATTTCCGAGAATTATTTTCGATATTTTTTAAAACTGCGTTAACATATTTAAGAGGAAGACAGATAACAAATTTACTTCAGTTGTTTGAAACAATATCAATATAGATTTAGAACAGATAACATTAACTTGTAATGCAAAATAAAAATAAAAGTGTTTTAACTTGCCACACGGAAAACTACATTGCAGGTTATATGTTTCATATTTACCACGAACATGTAACAATACTGGCGGCGAAATAAATAAAGCGAAAGTAATAATCCTCCTTGAGTGGTTATCGAATCAACATCCAATATTGTATCGAGTGATGTTACTGATGCGGGGTATGGTTTACAGCAGTGTTATTTTCGTGATTCGTGTGATTAATTGAATTTACGAACTCAAGTTATGCTAGAAATTGTACAAAGACTGCATTGCGTTTGATTAAAATCACTCTTGCTGACAATGGACGGTACTATTACTGTCCAGGTCTCATAACTGGCTTTAAAGATGCCCTACTACACCTACCCCTCCCCCACCCTTCTTCTGACGACCGACTGCTTGAAAGCATATACATATAATACGAGCTATATCTACCGTCCTGCCCCCTAACCGCTGGGCTATCGGTGTTGTTGGGTCTGGTCTAACCACCGTTGGTTTGGTGCCATGTAGTAACTTCCGGTTAGCTGCCTCGGCTCTTTTAGCGTCATCCATGTTATCTACAAATATATTAACATTCTCTTTCAGGAGGCAGATTCATATTAAACCTGTACCTTCTTTCTATGTAGTTATGGATATTTTTCTTCTTTGATTGGTGAATCATAATTTATTATTTTGGGCTAAACATAGCCTTGGGCATAATAAACGAAATGGTGACCGCTATTTTGCCCTTCTTCTGATGAGCAACAAAACGAAACAAAACACCAAAATAGCCATGAAGATTAAATACCGACAATTTTAGCCATTAATTTGCCTCAAAAAACAAGAGGGGCAAAAATAAAAACGGTACGTGTCAGCCATCAAGGTTTATCGTAACGGTATTTTCAAATAAACTTTATTTATTTTACAACAATTATGAAACAACTTATTTCAATTAATATGTTAGCGCACGGGGTCTTGATGTGGGAGGAAACCGCAGCACCCGGAGAAACCCTAGTTGATCGGCCAGGTGACCCATACCTTTTCACATCCAATCGGGGATTCGAACTCCTGCCGCCTTGGTGATTATATAATGCAATTGAAAAAGATTAAACAATCAGCTTTATACCGTAACTTTGACCTCGCCCATAATTCATCAAAGAGATACCAGAAAATATACCCGAAAGACGCGTTCCTATGTGCTTGTAAAGGACATATGTAAGAAAATTTTACAAAACGTGACCAGTGCAACAGAAAATTAGAAATGCTAGTCATTGAGAGGCACAGACGACTCAACATATCAAAAATCTTTAATGGAGAAACATGCGTTTTTTTCTCCTCCTCGCTTTGGATTCACAAAGTTAATTAATATTAAATGTACATTGATAACTCATATATTAATATCAATAGTCCACAAAATCCTTTAAAATGTTTTGAGAATATCCTTTAAAAGTCTTTTTCACTTTCTTACTTACTTACCTACACAATTTTCTGTGATTTTTTGTTACCTTCCATTTGCGTAAAACCTTGGTTTTTAAAATCTATTTTGTTAGAATTAAGATTCTTTTCAAACCATGATATATGTGAATTAGGTGATACTACATTCGAGGAGGAGGAGGACATTTTGCATGATGTCGGTGTACATTTACAGTTAACACTGCCCCTCCCCTACACGTCCGCCCCTCCCCTACACGTCCGCAGATTGCACGGTCAGACGTGGATTCGAACACGGGACCCTCCGATCACTAAACAGACCGCCGCTCTACCAATTGAGCTACCTGGTCGCCGACGATTGACTCATTGTAGTTCCGCTACACACCGACATCACTTCCCAAATTAATATAGGAATACCCCACCCCTAACCCGCATTTCAAGATTCCAAAATCTGGTCAACCCGTATGATTTTGTTGCACAAGCTGGCGATATGAAGTAAATTGTATTACACCTGTTGGCATAAACCAAAGTTATAAGTCTAAATAAGTTTGAAACGATTAAGAATAAGTACCAGAAGAAAACTATATTACAATCTATGCAAAGTGCATGTTCCTGTGAGTGAACCGAACCAGCTCACAACAATGGCCTCCAGTGAAACGGACAGGAGGTAGCCAAGGTTGTAGACTGTGAAACATGGCATCAATGTATCCGATACTATAGGTACACGTGTATATAACTTCGATTGCTTAACTTACCTTAGCTCAGGCTTTCTGTGTGATTAAATACGAACTTTCTTTGTTGTTCCGCGGAATTGATATCAAAATGCTGTTGTACTGAAATACATTTGCTTGTGACTTTCCTCCTGCTATGCGTGTTGCATTGCCGTTGTCATGGAGTCACGAGACATCAATTATGACGTCATTCCTCAAAGATGCGTATTTTTTCGTATGTCTAGTTCTAAGTGTTAAGTTTGAAATGATTAAATGCTGTATTGCATTTATATGATCATCCGACTAAATGTATACTATGCTAATTTATAGCATCTGTGTATCTGTCATCATATATGTAACTTAATTGTAGATTAGAGACAGTGAATTTGGGTATGATAGAGTGCAGGCTGGAGGGGGTGTCGTGTTGATTGCACGTAAACTGACATACAGGTTGATAAGGGCTGGCCTCAGGTACACCCATGAGTAATGTGGTTTAGGGAAAAGATTGAAGGTTCCGGTGAAACAGAGGTTCCTTCAGCGGGTAAGGAGGCCGGGGCAAGTTCAGTCTCGGGGTAAGTCCGACCACACTGTATACTTTTGGTCCTGAGCAAATATTTACAACTTTGATTATAAAATCATTTCAGTTGACTGGACGGAACATTCACACGTAAAAATGGCGAGGGTACTCAATTTTTAAATTACTAATTTAAATAAGAAGAAAGGGACCTTTGGGAGGGTAGGAAAACATCATGACCTCATTTCTTTCTAGTTTTGCGAACTTTCTGTAAACCGAATTGCTACTTTAATCATTTGTCTCTTACGTGTAATACACTGACAGCTTACTTCACATGATGGTATACGTAAAAGCTTAAAAGCATCGACTTTCGCATTGCTGTAATATACGAATTTGTTATCAATTTGGGACAGGCTCGGCCCATGCAACTCATTGAAAGTCATGAAATTGGCGGGGAAAATATGACGTTTCATAATTTATGACGTCAAAATTATGCTATTATAGTAGACCCCCATTTACATGTGGTTTAAGCCCGTGAATGTTTCATGCATTTATGAAACATGAACAAGAACCCAGCTTTCATTCGAGTTTATTCATTTTTTTTCAAAAGGAAATTGATAGATTTATATGTTCTGATCGTTTATGTTTTCTTAAATCTATTTTTTCTATACGGCATTTCATTATCAATGAGTTTGTTTATGTAAATCTAAAACCCGGAGGACAGCATATTTTTAGTTATGCTAATCACATCCAGTTTTCTGTTGTAACATATTAACATATGTAATAGAGGTCTTTATTTTGTAATGCCTCCGCATTAAACTGACGTTCTTTGTTAGAGCTAACAAATGTTGCAATAAATAACAGTGGATTGGACAAACGTTAAAATTTATCGAGACTATCACATCCTTTTTATTTGTATGTCTTATTGAAATGATATAGCTTATTGAAGTCTTAAAAACAAACTCGAAAAAGAAGAGAATTCGAAAAAAGGTTTTGGTTCTGGGGGTAATTTCTCGTTCTCATTTTGTCCTTTGCAGATATTATATAAATTTTGCCGTTTATAGAGAGTGTATCGAACGCGCCCCATGAAAGTTGTAAACACAGGTACATGTGCATTTGCGGGCTGGGGTGTAGATTTTGAAGGTTTCGAGGTTTGTATGTTTTATTTAAAGTGTACGGTGAGGTCATTTTAAAGTAGTTAGTTGATTTGTAATCATATTTATTCCAAACATATGCAGTCGCTCCGACAGAATGAGATTGTAGCCTAGTATACTGTTTTGTATACGGTAACGGTGTAATCAGTAGTCTGTGAGTAGACAGTAGACACAGTAAGTTTCTTAACCGTACTTCGATCAGCTGATGATAGAGTAAAGCGACCAAAAGCCCTGTGTACCAGTACAAGAGTTTGTTTGTTTCAAATTCCGAGATAAACAGTATTTGTTTTTTGTTTGTTTATATTAACAGTCAGTGGCGGATCCAGACACCTATCTGGGGGGGTTTCCAAATTTCCTGGGGGGGGGGGTTCCATGTGGGGAAAAAATTGAGGAAAGTGGTGAAAATACATGATTTTTAAAGAAAATTCTCAGGGTGGGGGGTTTCCTGGAGCCCAAAAAACCCCTCTGGATCCGCCACTGACAGTTTATTTACGTGAATTCCACCCCCCCCCGCACAAAATATCTGATGTATTAACCACTGCAAAGACAGTGTATGTAAACGCATCCGCTACAATATGGATTGTTATGTCGATGTCATGAATCAGTTGATGTACAAACAGATTTTTACTGACACAAGTAAAATCACCTTATGTGTGGAGAAGAAGGTGTATCAAGGATAAACGAAGGTGTTTGTTTTTTTGTTAATAATTTCAAGATCAGTGTCATTGAAGTGATTAAAATTGAAAATTAAAAGAATTGCCTACTTTTGGCAATCCGAGAACGGAACCTTCTTTAACTGAACACCTGACATCTGTTTATAGAGGACCTGCCATGGGGTACCTTTTAAAAGAGGACACTTGACATAGGATACCTGTTTATAGAGGTCACTTGACATAGTGTAACATTTTATAAGGGACATCAGACGTAGTGTACCTGTTTATAGAGGTCGCCTGACATGGTGTACCTGTTTATAGAGGTCACCTGATATGGTGTACCAGTTTATAGAGGTCACCTGACATGGTGTACCAATTTATAGAGGTCACCTGACATGGTGTACCAGTATTTAGAGGTAACCTGACATTGTGTACCAGTTTATAGAGGTCACCTGACATGGTGTACCAGTTTTTAGAGGTCATCTGACATGGTGTACCAGTTTATATAGGTCACCTGACATGGTGTACCTGTATTTAGAGGTAACCTGACATTGTGTACCAGTTTATAGAGGTCACCTGACATGGTGTACCAGTTTATAGAGGTCACCTGACATGGTGTACCAGTTTATAGAGGTCACCTGACATGGTGTACCAGTTTATAGAGGTCACCTGACATGGTGTACCAGTTTATAGAGGTCACCTGACATGGTGTACCAGTTTATAGAGGTCACCTGACATGGTGTACCAGTTTATAGAGGTCACCTGACATGGTGTACCAGTTTATAGAGGTCACCTGACATGGTGTACCTGTATTTAGAGGTAACCTGACATTGTGTACCAGTTTATAGAGGTCACCTGACATGGTGTACCAGTTTATAGAGGTCACCTGACATGGTGTACCAGTTTATAGAGGTCACCTGACATGGTGTACCAGTTTATAGAGGTCACCTGACATGGTGTACCAGTTTATAGAGGTCACCTGACATGGTGTACCAGTTTATAGAGGTCACCTGACATGGTGTACCAGTTTATAGAGGTCACCTGACATGGTGTACCAGTTTATAGAGGTCACCTGACATGGTGTACCTGTATTTAGAGGAAACCTGACATTGTGTACCTGTACATAGAGGTCATATGACACAGTGTACCTGTTTATAAAGGTCACCTGACATACGGTACCTGTTTATAGAGGTCACCTGACATAGGGTACCTGTTTATATAGAACATATGCATAGGGTACCTGTTTATAGAGGTCACATGACATGGTGTAGCTGTTTTTAGAGATCACCTGACATGGTGTACCAGTTTATAAAGGTCACCTGACATGGTGTTCCTGTACATAGAGGTAACCTGACATGATGTACCTGTTTATATAGGTCATCTGACATATGGTACCTGTTTATATAGGTCATCTGACATATGGTACCTGTTTATAGAGGTCACCTAACATAGGGTACCTGTTTATAGATGTCATCTGACATGGGGAACCTGTTTATAGAGGTCACCTGACATGGGGTACCTGTTAATAGAGGTCACCTGACATGGGTGCCTGTTAATAGAGGTCACCTGACATAGGGTACCTGTTTATAGATGTCACCTGACATGGGGCACCTGTTTATAGAGGTCACCTTACATAATGTACCTGTTTATAGAGGTCACCTGACATGGGTTACCTGTTTATAGAGGACATCTGATATGGGTACTTGTTTATAGAGGTCACCTGACATTGAGTACCTGTTTATAGAGGATATCTGACATAGGATATACAAAACTCTTTATAGAGGACACATAACATTGGATAATTCTTTATAAAGAAAATCTGACACTAGATTACAGGCATGTTGTATACTGTGGTCTTTGTACATTTATTCATGACACTTTATATTCATTTATGACCTTTTATTCATTTAGGACATATTGATGTGTATTTTTGTATTTAACAGGTTTATAAAATCATTTAAAGATGACCAGTCCTTTACCTGACCATGTGATCAAGCATAGTGCTGAACTGGGACTTGAAGTAAGTATTTTATTAATCCTTCCTACTTTTCATGTAGTTCTATAATACCAGGGAATTCGGTGAGGAAGTACGACTTTGTTTCTTTAATCCTAGATACTATCTATACTACTCACATTTTGCTAAGGATCACTTTTGTTTTTGGGCATATGTGAAAAATAAATATTGTATTTGGTTTATACTGAGATTATTTTTGAAAAATTGATTGTTCTTTTAAATCATCAGCATGCAAAAATTCCAAAAATCATAATTACAGTCGGAAAATGGGCCACAGGAAAAGGGTTACCCTTAAAATTGGTAACAACGAGGTATTCACTAAAAAACTTAGATTGAACAAAACTCATCCTAAATAAACAGAAACTGAGGAAAAGGGTTACCCTTAAAATTGGTAACAACAAGGTTTTCACTAAAAAACTTAAATTGAACAAAAAAAGTAAACAGAAACTGTTTTAGTATCGAGTGTGACATCCATGAGCATCAATTACAGCTCACAACGTCTGTTTTTGTGGGATAGCATTCCACTCAGCTACCAATGAACATTTCTGGCAGAGAGAGCTGTCTGCAGCATGTCTCACACATGCTCGATGGGATTTAGATCCAGCAAGCGGCCTGGCCAATCCATTCTTTGAATAGTCTCTTGCTGTAGATACTGCTCAGTCACCCTTGCTCTATATATATGTGGCCTAGCATTATCGTCCATAAGGATGAAGTCAGGGCTGATAGTGCCAGCGTAGGGTCTGACATTGGCTTCAAGGATTCCATCGTAGTAAATCTGGGCCGTAACGGTACCATTATGGAAGACATGGAGGTCAGTTTCCAACGAAGGCTTATGCCTCCCCACACCATCACTGAACCTCCGCCATATCGGTCAAGCATGTTCCACAACGTTACCTGCCTGGAACCTCCCCCCAGGTTGTCTCCATACTCTAACGCGCCTGTCGGTGAAGTCAAGACAGAATCTGGACTCGTCAATAAAAAGGAGCGGTTCCCATTCCTGAAGAGCCAAAGTGCTGTGAGCTTGGGCCCAACCTAATCGGTCCCTAACATGGCGGGCAGTTAAGGGAAGTCGTATTGCTGGTCTACGTGACCTTAAACTAGGATCATGAAGACATTTCCTAACTGTCTGAGTGGCTACCCGGGTACCAGAAGCATTTAGGAGGTCATTTTGTAAAGCTGCGGCAGTCTGGAACCTGTGACACTGTGCCTGTATGAGCAAAAATCGGGTCTTGGCGCTGCGTTGTAGGCCTAGAACGACCTCCAGCATGATGTCTGGAAGGGTTTCTGTTAGGTTGGAAATGATTCCACATTCCTGCCTCCACACATTGAGACACCCAAGGTCTGCTGCAACCTGACGTTGACGTTGCTAACTTGCAGCATTTCGATGCCCCTATTCATTTCACAATCTTTAACCATTGTCTGGTTGTCTTTGTGCCATATTAAAATAAAAACATGCGAAGAATATTCATCAAATTGATTTCCTTAACAATTTGAACAACCCCTTACTTAGCCTAGCTTAGCTTTTGAAAGGGGTGAACATGTGGAAAAGTGTGCACACGCTTTTACGGTTGACTGAACACACCCACACAGGATGATTTGGAAGGCTAACATATTCGCCAAAAACAGTATGGAAGGAAAATACAATATCCTTTCTAACATTTTAATTTTGTTTTTTCAAAATATAGGTGATCCCTAGCAAAATGTGAGTAGTATATATACTATAGCGCAGGTATTGATTCCTGTGTACTGCGTAACTAATAACATTATTTAATTTTTGTGTAACTGCATCTGGGATGTGCCATAGTAACAAAGACTTAGAAATATTAAGTCATAAATTGATTCAAAAATATCTGTTAAACAATGTTAAAGCAACAGTATGTCTTTGACTTGTAGAAAAATTGGTCTGTTAAGAAGGACTTTGTGGATGCCTTTCTTAAACGCCACCTTCCTAAAGGGAGACTACTCAAAGGTGAAGATGAAGAGATTCAGACAAAGTATCTGATGCTGGATAATACTGGAGTTAACAAAGTAACAGGAAAAAAACGACCAAGGAAAAAGAAAACTCTTTCTACAAGGGAGTGCAGAAATCTGAAAATATTCAAAGTGGAAAAAGAAGGTCAAACGTACGTATGATTAGCATGTATAAAAATGTTGTTATATTTAGATAAAGGATATTTTCATTTTTCAAAAATGTGACTTTTTAAAATCGTTTATTTTATGCATGCAGACAAGCAAAGTTCTAAACTACATGCATTGCTTTAAAATTGTGCTGGTTTAAATGGTTAGTTCAAAGATCTAAAATTGACCATCTTCGTTATGTATAGGAAAGAATCTCTTGTATAAGCCTTTTCTGTTTATAGATAATTTTACAACTTCGTAGTTTTATATTTCTGACTTTAATAAGAAAAGGAATAATGAGGTTCCATTGTACAAAATTTTGAGTTATTCCAGGAAGTGGACTATATTTCAAACAAGTAACCAGCTTTGGTTGGCTGTTAGGCCTAGATTGTTAAATGGTGTTTGAATCCTATATTTGTTTGCCAATGTGCTGATAGGCATGGGCAATCAACTCCTGTTGTTTGGGGTATGTTGTACTTAGTGTATAAGTTGTATGTTCTCCACAGTGTCAAGTTTTGCTATTACCCTGTTTGTGATGAGGATGATTTTATCATGACAACGACCGTTAGTTCACAACATACCCTATGTAATTTTTACATGTGAAGAGTAAAATAAACACAGTGTGAATATGAGACAGAGACAGACAGACAGACAGACATTCTTTATTTCCTCTAATAAGAGATTACAGAGATAGATAGATCAGACCCTGCTTACCCACATTTTGAGTGTACAAATACAAAATACAGTGTAAATGTAATGGAGCCGCGGTGGCCAAGTGGTTAAGGCGTCTGACATTCTGCTACCACTAGCCCTCCACCACTGGGTCGAGGCCTACGTGGGGCAGTCGCCAGGTACTGGCCATAGGTCAGTGTTTTTTCTCCGGGAACTCCGACTTTCCTCCACCACCAAAACCTGGCATGTCCTTAAATGACCATAGCTGTTAATAAGACATAAAACACAAACAAACCAAACCAAACCGAAGTATATGTAATAATAAAATTTAATGGGAGATTGTCTATGTTTGGGAAGCTGTTAGTGATAACATATTGATCAATTGCATTAATAAGTGTGAAATGTTTTTACAAAATGAAAGTAAATGACAGTTTAAGTGATATCTGTAGAGAGTAACTGAGTTGACACTACTAACAAAGGATACAAATTGTTTCAGTGCATCAGTTAAATGTTTTTCACAATCTTAAATAAAACATCCCAAACCAAGGAACTTGTTAAAGTGTGCTTTATACATGCTTTTGACCAATGTGTGGACTGTCTTGAATTCGAGCAGTATGTAAAAATGACAACTCTGCCAATTTGCGACACATATATAAATACGGTCAGCAGGACTTCTCACTAATTTGAACATGACTGGATATAACCAGCATTTCAATATATTATGAATATATAAATTTTCATTTGATTCAGTTACCAAACTGATGAATCTTAATCAGAATAGAATGTCAGTATATATACTATCATTCAAATAAAACGATTTACAAAAGTGATCAAGTGTGTGGGGGTAATGAGTGTAACTTTGCATACCATAGAGGTGGTCATAGTAGAAATTGAGTGTAAAAGTGTGTCACAGCCAGATCCTTTGGTTGGTCATGCCTCAATCTTTCTAAATGTTGACATAGAATGTGCTTGTTATTCTACAGGGATGGAATACACATAACTTGTATCTCCTTTTCTAATCTCTATTATACATATTTTCAAATTTCAAAAATGATGTATCAACAAATTTGTTTTTTGTGCTTTATTACAGTTACGATTCTTATCTACCTCTCAATCACCTATGGTTAAAGTACATGGAAGAACTCACAAACTTCAACAGGTAAGTTGTGTAGTCTGCCTGTTGAACTTTAACCGTTTCACCCCTATGTAACTTTAGTAGACTCTACCATGCATTGATATGGATGAGTCCATTATGGTCTACAGTGGTGAAAGGGTTAAAGTTTTTGCTGTATCTTTGACAGGCAGAGTTTCACATATTGAATTTGGAACTTGTGTCTACTCTAAAAAGTTATGGCCTGTTGTTAATTTTGGAAACCAATTTAAAATGTCTGTTAGATAAAGGTATTAAGATAAAAGGAAATCAAGTATGTAAATATAAATATCTTCCAATGGTTTGAATGCTTTTCCAAATGAAGTAGATTCCAATAATTTCTTCTTCCAGAAACTTTTTGTTGTCGCTTTGAACACCTGTATTATTTACACCCATTATGAATATTTGTTCAGTGAAGCTTGATATTCACGTACATCCTCTAATTTTGAAGCAATACAACGTTTCTGTTCCAGTTTCACACCCAGTAAGATGTCAAATGTACAACAAAGGTTGCTGAAGGCCGACCTGCATGGTTCTATTCTGACAGTTCAAAAGTCAAAGTGCCCAAGCTATGTAGGAGTCACTGGGATTCTTCTACAGGAAACCAGGAATACATTTCTTCTAATCACCAAGGAAAACAAAGTCAAATGTAAGTCTGTACACTTATCCTTTTCACCACTGTAGACCATAATGGACTCATCCAGATCAATGCATGGTAAGAGTCTACTAAAGTTACATAGGGGTGAAAGGGTTAAGGTATGGGAAATTTCAAGATCTGCTATGACACATTAGAAGCAGCTATATAGTTAGCTCATTATTTCCATTAGTCAGTTGGTGCAGAAGTTCGAGCTCGCCACTGAGATTGTCAATCAAACATGGAAAGATACACTGTTACGGGGTCACCTTAGCAACCACTCCAGGTACCCCATGCATACTTCCATCTGGGCCAAAAAGAATGATCAGTAGCTTATTACTTGTTTCATGATTGTTGCAAAATAGATGGAGAATTTAATTTAGCTTGATTACTTTGATTAATTGGAGAATTTCCCTGACGACTCCAGAATTACTGGGTATATTACAAATATTTTCGATCGATTTTGGTCTAGACAAATGCTTTGCTAAAATTATGTCTTACTAGATAAGGCAAACAAATAAATAATGACTTTTTTTTTTAAATTTTGGTATTAGTCATCCTATTTAATCACAAGCAATGGAAAATTTACATTTTTTGAATTATATAGTATGTAATTGATGAAATTGCAATTCCACGGTAATTTAACATTCATATTTATTACCAATTCCAATATTCCATTTGTCTGGATGTTGCATCAAGTATTGAGTCCTTAAATGATTACCAATAAGACTTTTGTAACACTGTTTTCAATATTTATATATAAATTGACTAAGGACATTTATTGGTTTATTTTACAGATATTCCCAAACAACAGTCAGTGTTCACCTTCACGCTGGGGTCGTACCAGTTCACCATCTACGGCAATAACTTCCGTGTTCGGTCTAGTGAGAGAGCTGTTCGCAAATTCAAATCAAAAGCCACTGTTGATTTTTGAAATGAAATAAAATATCAAATGTTAATCCACATTTGTTATTCATTAAACTGATATTACTCAAAATTTTACTGTTTCATACCATGGATGATATGCGGCCACACTTTCAGTTAAACCAGATTGGAACTCGACGCTCAACTGTAAAGAAAAGTCTTCAATTAAACATGAAATAATTTTGAATAAATTTATATCGACACAAAACTTTACTTCGAAACATCCCTCATAGAATAGAATATACAATGTTTATGTTAACTATCTCAAGCATATACATTCCAAAACTTCCTCATTTTAATATCAAGGATACATCTATTTTTAAGTACTTTTCAAGCACTGACCAACTATGCTGGATGGAATCCAGGTTGTTACATACAGGAGAGTATATTTTGTAAACATACTTACTATCATCATTAGGCTTCCTTTTTAACACATAAACGACAATTTCCAAGTTTCAAGCATCATGATTTAGAGTTAATCCTATATTAAACAGTTGCATGTATTATATTTTACATTTTCAAATTACCCTAAAAAAGTGATAAATATGACTACTGCAAAATGTTTCAGTATCCTTGTTGGTGACAATTTTACTTTTTCATTTCTTCGGAAAATTTATAATTCTTACACAAAATGTGCATGTACTTAATTACAAAACCAACAAGTTTGACATAAAAAACAGTAGATTTCAATAGTTGTCCCCGACTCATGGTATGACATTGACAACGGTGAGTGAAAGTGAATGGAGGCTCACATTGATATTTCCCCTACCCCTGCTTTGCCCCATCCTTGATACTCACTTACGTTCTCTTCACCCCTGGAATATGTCATAGTAGAATTAAAGGCATACACCTTGCTATAATTTGATTGGTCTAGGTAAAAACAACCTTGACCAATCACTAGGCTGATTACAGAAGCAACACCCGACTTCAAAATCAGTAAATTTAACAATTACTCGACAACGATATTCTTTGATTTACATCAAGGGATAAAACTTGTCTTCTTGTCTCGTCTTCAAGGTGGCACACTCTGAGCTTTCAATTTTGCTATGACATATTCCACGGGTGCGGAGAGCGTAATCAACGGTAACCCCGAAGTATCCTGGATGGTTTTGCCCATGACCTTTCACCCTTGACTGATAATCATCCAAATTTAATCAGGTGTAGAATGTTACTATACTTTGGTGTAAATGTAAACTAAATTTGTTGAGGGGATCATGAGATATCTTGCTTTTAACTTCAACAGAGGTCCAGTGTGATCTTTTGCTGTGACTTATGATCCTTTTAACTTGGCTGATGACAAACAAATGTAATCGGGTGTAGAACTCAATATTTCTATACTCTGGTGTAAATATAATAATAATAATAATTGGAGGTTCTTATATACTGCTTTATCACAACCTAGTTCATAGGTCGTCTCAAAGCGGTTAACAAATTATTATCCGTGGTTATAGGGCCTTTGCAACTAGTCAGTACATTTCTCAACTCCCTGGGGAGCATACAGCCAGAGCTGCCATTTCGGCGCCAACAGCTAGCATTCAACAATTCTAGCACTGTCCAACCACATACTCATTTACAGCCGAGTAGACTGGAATGCGCGGAGTAAAGTATCTTGCTCAAGGATACAACACATTGCCGTGCCATGGCGCGAACCCGCAACCCTTTGGTCAGAAGCCCGGCGTCCTACCACTGGACTACTGTGCCTCCAATAAAGAGACTGAATCCACAGAATAATGATGGAAGAAAAGGTCAGAATCAGATACATTTTTATTGCTCTAAGTATATATAATTATAATGTAAAGTTTTTGTATAAAAATATAAATAAATCATGGATATATGTAATAATTTTTAATAATGTATTTATATATATATACCACTTTAACATTGATTCAACGTTTGAAACGTCACATAGAAACAATTATCGATTGTGCTACAAGAATCTTTTCATAATCCATACTTAACAACCTGAAGAAAATGTTTTGAAATATTGATTTAAAACTTTGGTTTTAGTACATAATTACTTTAAATGCCACAATATTTATACTTCTGTAAAAATCAAAAGTTTAAAGTTTGACAAGTCACTAGCTGTGAAAACATCAAACAAGCTCCTCTCTAACTCTGAGCCTTAAAGCAATTAACCCTTTCACCACTTTAGACCATAATGGACTCATCCAGATCAATGCATGGTAGAGTCTGCTTAAGTTACATAGGGGTGAAAGGGTTAATGCCATTTTATCTCCTATTGAAAAATTTATATCCAGGTATAGGAATTGGAAAATGTGTAAATTTTATATTAACAAATAAATTAAAAACTGACAGATCAGCAAATTAAAGGCCCCTTATAAAATCATACTGGCTAAGGTGAGGCCACAACAATCTGCTTGGATTATGAAATATGGGTAATTGGGCATTACACATGTATGTAATCTGACATGTACCATTTACCACAAAGTATGAACAAAATCTCAAGAACAAGTCTCAGCCAATCAGTAATGATATATAGTGACATTGACCAGCGGTCAACTTGGACTTTTGGGATCCTGGTTATACATGTATCATGTTATTCATGAAGGATATCACCATGTACCAGTTTACACTGACAGATCAGAAGAAACAATACACCAAATTTTTGAGAGGATGTCTCGTGTTTTGTTATTTAAGTCATGGTGACTTTGTCCTTGACCTTAGGAACTTGTGAAAACCCTATTGCACATCTAAATATAAGGATATACCACCAGGTGAAAAATCATGGTTTTTAGGCCTCTTACTTCTGACAAAATCTCCAGAAATTTGGCAAATAAAAGCAACAGTACTACAATACAGAGGCAGTGTGGATTGTCGTTAAAAGGAGTTTTCAAATATTTCAAATATTGATATCTAGTGGGACATCTTTACAACATTTTTTTCCTGGGACACTAGGACTTCTTGCTACATAACAAAGGACCTCTGTTTAGCATTCACTACATATTTATTGGATTAAACCACCAAAGGTTAGGCAATTTCCATCATTATTTTCACATATTTTTTTTTTACAATATTATTTGATTTTCTTCATATCAATTAAGTATTCAGTGAGGTGTGCTTGGAACTCGGAAAGATAAGTAACTCAGCCGTGACCCTGAATAAGATGGAGAACCACAACTAACCATCTACCGTATATAATTACATATAAATACTATCCTAAGTCTGGTGATTTTCTCGGTGTTCACTGCTGGGCTTAATTTTTAGCAAGTAGTACAGTAATTTCTGTCATGCTTTCTTTCGTTCTTTCTTTTCACTCATTTACATATACCCTTATATATGAACTGATGTAGATTCACACTTATGATACCTCGCAATACATGTACTACAATCACACTCATAATAATTACATAGTTATCAAAAATCTATTAGTTATTAAAATACACATTTGTCCAAACAAGTTATTTCCCCTTGTTTCTCTCCCTGACAAAAAGTAAGTTGACAGGATAAACTTTTTTTTTTGCAAAATAATTCTACAATGATGATATGCAGAGGCTGTTTTCTCAGACTTTAGCAGTGGTTATATTAATTGGTCAAAAATTATACAGCATAAAGGCACTAAAAATTAGGGTAGAGATCTTTTTCTGACAAAAGATGACACAAACTGACAACTTTGTTGTTCGAAATTGATAATGTACCTGGTACAATGAAACAAATTTATGACGAAAACATTTATACTCTTTGATTTGATATCCATTACATCATGAATTTCTAAGTTAAGAGAATGTTTTCCCCTGGATATCCTCTCTATCAACCCAAAAGTTAAATGCCAATATATCATAAAAACAGTTTGATTTTCATTCACAACCCGAAAGTTAAATGCCAATATATCATAAAAACAGTTTGATTTTCATTCCAGGTAAATAAATTATGTTGAGATTGTTGTTTTTGGCTTTTTCCTGATCAGGATGTCTTTTTCTCCTCAGCGTCTCTGGCCTTCTTACATTTGCTGACAATGCCATCAAAGTGAGTGAGATAGAACAAGGACACCAATCGGAAAATACTTGCAGTCCCGATCTGAAAAAAATATTATCAATTTATACTGTTATTCAACATAGAAATTGCTACCAAAATCTTACACTAATGTAATCAAGTTAGGTTTCGTTGACAGCTTATAGGGTTATTTGGTTGAAATTCAATCTAAACCATTTATGGTTACAATGGATTTCATGTACATCACACTTTTTAATATATTTCAGTTCATTTAATAATCTTACCAAAACATCTAAAAAAACACAAAGTTGCTCATGTTATCAGATAAACAACTGTTTCAGTTAATATCACAATTTAGCTTAATATCATCTTTTCTCCTGATAAACATTACACAACATTAAGAGGAATCCATTTATCATGTCACATGAATGTGATCAGCATCTCCTTCCAGAGTCATTTAGAAAACTGAAAAATACCTTTCATGAATAGCAATTCTGTGTTGATTAAGTGAATGTGAAACCACAAGGTACACAGTAATATAAACCAGTAAATTAATTCTAAAATCGTTAAATGATACTTATTAATTAAATTATTAATTATAAAGGGCCATAACTCTAACTTAGCTGTTTCAGAAACGGTGTTCAGTTGAGATTATTTTCTAGGTGCTTGCTTACAATACTATTATATATATCCACTGAAAGAAAATTGATAAATTATGAATCATTTTTACATGTACATTGGTGGAACAATATTTGTCAACAACCACCTCTGAAGATAATGTTGCCAATAAATACACACTTGTGATATTGCGTCCACCACTGACGTGACCGGTGACATCCCACAGGTCATACAAGCTAACATGAAGCCATCGCTCCCCACCCAGCTCTGAAAACGGCCGCTCTGAATAAAAGGAAACAGTTGATTTAGCTTTTTTTTCTTCACCTGGTACACGGAGATCTTTTTTGTATACTGAGTAACATTAGAAATAACACATCTCATTAAACAGCATTAAAAGAGACATGCTTGACTGTGCCCAAATTGGTTTGAAATAGCATATTTATAATAATTATCATACATTTTATTATCATATCATGTATTTTACAATTGCAAATGAATCGGAAGAAAGATTTTTTTTAACAAGCAGATGGAAATACAAGATGTATTAACATTGACATACACTTGTGTTTTACAATAGCAAAAATACTTTTTAAAAAGGTGTCTGAATTTAACTGACACATTTTGAAGCCGATAGGATTGGAACCTCAAATTTTACACCATTTATATCTGTACAAACATGGAGAAACATCACTCACCAAGCTGTCCTCTATAATAGTTTTAGCTACCACATCTGGCTGGAATATTCCTGAAGTCTCCGATATCAAGACAGTTTCTTTGGGCTGTATGACACAGAACCAAAGATCATATTTACATTTTATCTTATTTTTACAATTATTTCCAGAGATATTTACTTTAATAGCACTCCTCAAGCATTCAGGGTGATAGTTTGTTAAATAAAATATGCAAGAAATTAAAATAATGGAAAAGCAGAGGTGTTGATAAGCATACAAATTTATTGCCTTGAATTTTAATGTATATGTCTTAATATGCTATTCAATATGATATTTCGACCCACATAATAATAAATAAGAAAAAATGTCTATCCTAAATAATGTTTTATTACATAATATAGACATTTTTAATAAACTTGAGTCTCTGAAGTTTTACATATGTACCTTTCCCTCAAGTTCAGCTGCATACCCAGGAGTTTCAGTGTCAGGAGGAAAGGACAAGGTCACATAGATGTTGTAGGGTTTTACCTGTAAACAGAATCATTTATTACAGGTCATGTATTAAACTTATAGTGTTTAACAGTCTTATTGTCTAACCGATCATTTACGAAAACTAAAACCAATGTGAACAAGCTAGACATATTTGCTGAAACAGTCTCATACTTGTCCTGTATTTACAGCAGATGCCATCCAAATTTATAAAAATCCTTTATATAATTTTTTTTTTTTTTTTACTAATGAATGGTATGGTTTTCTACATTCGTTTGTTTATTTTTACTGCTCCTAGATAGAGAAGAATTTCCTTAATTTCCATTTTCCTGCATTAGTTGTCGAATGCTGACAAGCAAACTCACAAGATCAGGTTTTGAGAGACAGGTTGATGAAGACTCTTGGAAAGTTTAATGGCTGCATATTTTCTTAAGCAAAATCATTGTCAACTTAATTGATTTTACTAATTAGCATCTTTTGTTGTTTAGTTGTCACAAACCCAGGTCTTCATTATAAACATGTGACATTGCTAAGATTTGACCTAGATAAGCAGAAGAGACGCTTACCCTTCCAAATCGCTTGTTTTTATACTCCTTTTACTTTTCCATTGATATCTGAGTAAATCTTTCGTTTTGTGAATATTTTCCGTAGTTTTTTTTTTTCAGTTCTAATTATGACTTTGTTTAACCTTTCGTATTCCTTTTTTTAATTACAACTGTTTGCGATTTCCTTGGCTGCCTTGTTGAGTTTAATAATCTGAGGTATGAATTATAACAATAGGTTAATCACTCTCAAAACTTGAGAAACCACATTAAAATGAGACAGATAGCATAGAGTGTACAATGTACAGGTGATTAATTGATTTTTTTTGTGGTGAAGGAAATGATTGAGTACAGGTAAATGCAAAAAATATCTACTTGCAAATATCCATTAATTTAATTCTTTATTTATTTTACGAGGATTACAAACAGCCTGAAGGCTACTAGATGCTCTCCTCAACATATATCAAACATACAATATGTACAGTTACACAAAAGACGTACAAAAGTCGCACACACTTGCGCTCACACATACAAACAAGAGAGAGAGAAAGAGAGAGAGAGAGAGAGAGAGAGAGAGAGAGAATCTCTTTGAATTTACGATATATTCAACAACATGGTCAAATAATGTTTTATTCTCAATTTCGTTTAGAGTTTCTAATCCACATAAAATTATTTTGACAAGAACATTTGGCATGAGCTCTACAATAAGGTTCGAATTGATATTTGGAGCGAATATATGACAAACAGCACGGAGCATATTGGAACGAATTCGGTTATATTTTGGACAAAGTAAAAAGAAATGAATTTCATCTTCGGAGGAGTTCGCGCAGAAGTCACAGAATTTGTTATTAGTTAAATTGTAAGAGTATCTATGTTTGTTTAAAGCACTTAGTCCCATTCTTATTCTCGAGTGATTGATTTTTCCTTTCCCATGTCCATATGCTTATAAAGAGTTTGTTTGTGGAGTGGATAGATTTGACAGTGCTAGAGAGAAAGACGTTAGTGAAGAGCTATTTCTCAATGCTTCAGGTAGGTTGTTCCAGTCTCGTATTGATTTTGGAAAGAAGGATTGGTGATAGAAAGATTTTCTTGACCGGATAGAAAGAATAGTATTAGAATTTCTTAAGTTGCAGTTTTGTGTTCGATGACTCTGAATTGGACAAATAGTTTTCAAGTATGGCGGACATAGATCATGCTTAATTTTAAATAACATTTAAAGTCTGCAATTTTTTCGTCTCTCACTTAGTTTTTCCCATCCCAATTCACCCAGCAGTTTAGTATATTTGGTAACCTTATAACCGCCTGTGCATATTAATGCCGCCCTACGCTGAACACTTTCAATAAGGTCAGACTCTTGCTGACTGCAGTTATCAAATAAAATATTGCCATATTCCATAACCGATCTTACCATAGTTTTATATAGTGTTTCAAGACAAGAACGTGGGATAATATAAGCTAATGCTTGTAAGATATTTAGTATTCTGTTTGCTTTGGCTACAATTTCTGAAATATGAGAATGCCAGCTGAGGTTACCCGATAGAATTATGCCCAGATGTTTATGGTTAATTACATGTTTAATCGGAATGTTGTTAAGCAGGAGGTTCGGTTTATTAACAAATCTTTTTTTAGAGAAAATAACAAATTCAGTTTTTAGTGCGTTAAATGTGACAAGCCATCGCTTTGCCCACTGAGACAGAGTAGTTAAGTCGTCGTTTAGTGTATTTACCGATTCGTTGCTATTTATGGTTGATGAGAGAGATGTGTCGTCAGCGAATAAGTTAATGTCAGATGAGATGCCTACATTTATATTGTTTACATATACTAAAAATAAGAGCGGTCCAAGGATCGTGCCCTGGGGGACACCAGAGTTAATATATTTATGACCAGAAGATTGACCGTTTAAAATTGCATACTGTTTTCTATTATAAAGATAACTTTTAAGCCAACAAAGCAAACTACCTCTAATACCTATGTTTTCTAATTTGTGAAGTAGACCTTCGTGGCACACCTTGTCAAAAGCTTTTGAGACATCTAAAAATACTGTACAAACATCCCCACCATTATCTATATATTTATAAATGCTGTGGATTATTTTTAACAGCTGATTAATGGTAGAATCATTTCTTTTAAATCCAGAGTTTTCTTTGATAAGAATGTTATTTGCCAAAAAGAATTCATAAATACGTTTGTATACTATTTTTTCAAGACATTTAGATATATTTGAAAGAAGTGATATTGGCCGATAATTTTGAACATCATTTTTGCTGTCTTTTTTATGAATAGGACAAACTGATAGATGATACAGATTACATACAGATTAACACTTATTGCTAACTGTGTAAAGAATCACAACTCAAAACATTTCCACATGCAAAAATGTCCAACTTTTACAGTATATGTACCAGTTTATGTTCACAAAACAAAGGACTAGAGGCGTTAAGGGTAATTTCCGGCCTCATAGGGGATTAACAATTAGTTGGTATTTTCGTTATCTGGAATAAATGGAGTACGCAAATTTCATTATGAATTTTCAAATTCATTTGACACCTGGTTTAGGAGATATGGCATTACAAAGAGAGACATAAACCCGCATTTTCATAATAAAATGTGTAAATATCGTCTGTTGTGCTCTATAAGGTTGAACATTTGCCATTTTGAAGGAAATTAACTAAACATTTTTTCAAAGCCTGCGCATGCAACAAACAAATAAATATTTGACATGCTTAAACATTGTCAAACCGGTGTTCACTCTTCTTTAGTAGAGGAAGTTTTGTTTATCATATGCAGAAGCTTCCATTTCTGCATACAAACTGTCCAAAAACACCATATTTTGGCTCTTTCTGCCTAGCAACCCAATCTTGTTGCTATGGTAGGGCATCTATGCATGTGAGTTGGAAAAAATCTGCACCAAGAAAGATAGCCCCAATTAACCCATAACGCCCCAAGTCCTTTTGCATACATTGTACATGAGTATCTGGAACAAATTGAAACTCCATGTAATTATGATATCTGAATCTGATCATTTTCTTACCTCCATTTGAAGAGCTTGTGCCAGTCCTGTAAGGGCAAACTTAGCAGGAGAGTAGCCAGTGTACCCGAACATCCCGATCTGTCCTGCCTGAGAGGAGAGAAAGACGATACGACCACACCCAAGGGTCTTCATGGAGGGCATGACTGCTTTGGTGGCATAGACAGTCCCCAAATAGTTCACATCCATCTGCCTCTGAATACGAAAAGAGACAGTAGTATTTAACATACAATTATTGTATAAGATACATTTTCGTGGGTATTTCTTTCGTGGTTTAAAGCCCATTAAGATTGTTTCATGGTACATGTACAAAATTTCTTGGATACTTCATATAAACAAACAGAAGTGATATTAATCAAACTTATTGTATTTATTTTTGTAGTTCTATGTTTATACACAGCAAATATTTCATATTATACAGTAACTGTTTAATTCTAACATAGAAAGTTATTTTTAGACTAGAGGGTTGGGGTATAGAAATAAAGTTTTGAACTGTACAACAACAAAAAAGAGTGGTTTAACATTTTGTATCCCAAGCCCCCACCTGTTGATTTTCAAACTGTAGTTATCTCTTGGTGATTTTATATAAAATAAAATCCCCCATTGGCTATGAGCAGTGAACACTAGTATCTTCAAAATAAAACGGACTATTATATCGCTTTCAATCAGGTAAATAAGGAATATGTGACACACTTTAATCTGCAAGAACTTAATCTAACAGGATACTTACATGATAAAAACTTACCTTAAAATCATCTGGTTTCAAATCATCAAAAGTTCTGCTGATGGAAAACCCAGCACAATTGACCAACATGTGGACAGGTCCATTTAGACTTTCAGCCTATACACACAAAAGGAAACACTATGCCATTCATGTTTAATTACTCCTTGAGCTAATTAAAGAACAGAATATATTATACCTCTATGTAATATAACAGTGTATCTGGTACATTGTAACAGTGTATCTGGTTAGAATTCTGATTGTTGATCACATAACTTTATATTAAAACATTGTTTCCCTCCTTTGCTCCAGCTCCCTGAACATATTAATTTCCCTCCTTATAGGCCTCTCTTAAGACAAATGAGTTTAATTTATCATCCCTGAGTTCCATCTGACTGAAGAAGACAACAATAGCCTGTGGGTAAGTGTGACCTTTACCGTTGTGTTATTATTCTATGATGAAAACAGGCATACTGATACGTGGTTAATGAAATGGAAACAAATATTGTACATGTATGCAATTTACCTCATGAACGCCTTTTTCCACAAGTTGAGCATCTTTTGCCACATCAGCTACAACACAGACAACAGCCTGGAGAAGAAATCATTAGAGTTTGATACAAGAATACGGGTTCAACATGTACATTACGGCATTAGGCAAAAAACAAACAAAAAACAAAAAGAGGTCCAATGGGCCTGTATTGCTCACATGTCACTCATTTCATATTTGTAGCCTTCAAAAATAGTTAAGGTCAAATTTTATTAAACAGCATAATACAAATTGTATACGCATGACAGGTCTTAGATAGGAGATTTTATTACTTGACACATTATTGTTCTTCGTAAAGAAAATTTTATATAGATTTTAATATTTTACTGAAGTTGGTTGGTCCAGGTCATTAATCCCACACTTCATATCACTTAACATCATTAATCTACACCATTACATCATTAAGCTACATCATTAAGCTACATCATTACATCATTAAGCTACACCATTACATCATTAAGCTACACCATTACATCAAGCTACACCATTACATCATTAAGCTACATCATTACATCATTAAGCTACACCATTACATCATTAAGCTATCATGGCCTTAGTTCACTTGGTTCTTAAGAAGGAGTTATTGAAGTTTTTTACATAATTGACTCCTGTTCAGACCTTGGAAGTGGGTAAATGTCATTCATTTGCACATATTTAATAGCCCTTTATCCCAACATGCCAAATAATAGCATTACCGGCCTAAGACCCTTAATTATTCAGAGGAAATCAGTTAAAGTGAAAAGTTGATGCTGAACAGAGAGACAGACACCACACCACAGTTTAAGCTCACCTATGTCTGTTCAGAGTTATCCTACCAAACCTTTTAAATGCATATCCTACAGATTGTATGCCCATTTTAGACAAGCACTCATAAATTTAGGATTTGTGTCCCATAAAGCCAACGTAAAACTTCTTTCGAAAAAAAAAAACCCCAAAAAAACAGGGAAAGTGTTTTCAGAGTTGGGTAAAAATCCAATTTGAGTGTGAAATTCATGGTATGTGTTGAAAGTTTTATGAAAATCAAAGCATTAATTCTATAAGAGTGATTCCATGGAAAGCATTTGTGTAGATGTCACTGCCAGAGTGACCCCTAAATGTCACCTTTATAGTTGTCATTTGCTCAGCTGGCAAAACAGCAAATTTTGTTATGGCTTATAGAATTTGACAGTTTTGGGGAATAAGAATTAATAAAAAATACAGTAATTTTTGTTACCTCCAAATGTTGGGGTTTATTCATCCAGGTATAAAATTAAGACATTCAATATTTATCAAAATAATCATAATCAAATTCTTTCAATTAAGAGGGATAAATACCTACAGTTCTTTTCTGAGTAAAAAGTTGTTCAATGCAAAACAGCCAAATATTCCGTCTGAACCAGTAAAGATGCAACAATTTTACATTTTATTATAGAAAATTTGTGCAGACTCAAGATAATCCAGCCACCTTAATTACCAACAAAAGAGGCTAGATTGTAATACAGCTGGATAACTGGGACTTTTTTTCACATGAAAAGTCTAGTCTGTATCTTAAAACTGAGACTACATGTACAGCAGAAAAATCAGGATTCATATTAGTGGTTTGTGGTTTAAATTATAAGCCTTAACTTTAAATAAAAATTGTTTACGCATCAACCAAACAAACACTACAATTTTACGTTTTTCTATTCTGATTCAATACCATTCTTCTTATTTTCACAAGAGTGTCGAAATTTAGGGGAAAAAACCCATTGATTATCATGAGTATTTCTCTATATCTGTCATAAGAGTTTATGAATGAACATTTGCATGTATTGGCACTTACTTCAGTACAACCTGCTCTTCTGCATTTTTCAATCTCTTCCTTGGCTTCAGCCAGTCTTTGCTAATCAGAAAAAAATATGTATCAAATAAGATTTTAGACATTACTTTCTTATTGGAATATGGACTTATTATTGGACCAGTGTTCATGGGTGACTTTAACGAATTACTGCATATCAGACTTAATGTGTTTTTAAATAATCTGATCTGATATTTTACCTGATTGCGTGCCATGATGGTCACTTTAGCACCTCGACTGATTACCAGCTTAGCTATTTCCTTCCCAATACCACTAGAACCACCAGTTATCTAGGAAAGAAAAACAAAATTAGAGTCACTGATTATTATATAAGGATGATGCTTGTCATGTTCAACTCTCAGTGAGATAAAGGGGAATGCAGATCTATTCACCAAATGGAAACATAAAGGAGTATCTTACAGTATATGGGTCGTTATAGTGCTGGATACTCAAAAGCCTACTTTAAAAAAAGAGTTTTAGTTTAACTTTAATCATTATTTCGTCGATAAATGTAAATATGCGTCTTCAAGTGACAACAATTAAGTGTTGCCAAACCGAGTCTTTAAAAAAAAAACTGAATATAGTAAGCGACATCAGAAGATAAAATTATGTTGTTAATATCGCTCTAATACACCTTGATAAGTTGATATTTGAAAAATTGACCGAGTTATGATGAATTGAATCTTTGCAATTGGCAGTGACACATGCAATGTGTTGTGTTTATTGCCAGTACACAGGGACCAGTGGATTTGTTACTAAGGTGTTCATAGTAGTTTTACATGTTTTTAGTGTTTTACATCAACTTCATATAAAACTACTCTAAAGACCTTAGTTTAGGTCCAAATATAGCTGTAACAAATTCTCAGGTCCCTGTGAACCAGTAGTGGCAGCACAGTTGCCATGCCTTTTTTTCTTGACAGTCATCCCTTAAAGGTATACTCACAAGAACGTGTGCGCCGTCCAACTTCATTTTCTTTGGAACTCTAATGTTCCAAATGAAAGTCAGAATAAGAACTGACACGATAAAGAGAAAAGTAATAGTACAATATTCCATCTTGAAAACCGAACACCGGATGTTTGAAATGTAACAATAAAAATTAAAGCAACGTCCGGGAGCCGGATTAACAAAATTAATTTAATTTAAAGAAATAGATAAATGATAATCTATATAAGCTACTCTATATATACTAAATTATCATATAGATAACCAAACTATTTTCTCTTGTTAAATAGCACAGTAAAATATAGAAACGCCCAGACGCTATTATGAGCCTGTGAAAAGTTTGCCATCGAATGCACCTCGATTTAATTCTTGGTCATCTAAATGTTTACTTCTTTGCGCACAGTTACAAAACATTTCCTTAACATCGACCGTTCTATTTACGGTTTCGGGGTTTCGAAACAGGAAGACGATGCACTCAAGTAACAAGGGAAAACCTAAACAGAATCCAGAACGAGGAAGAAAATGTTAATCTTATGAAATCTAAACAATAACAGACAATGTGAGGCAAATGGCATTTCTTTCAGAGACGTACAAAGTTGTGAACGATGAAAGCCCAATCATAAAAAGTCAACTTCAACGGCTGCCTCGGGATATCGAAAAAGAAGATGAACATTCCGTACCTTTAGTACTTGTTGAAGAACCGTCTCCACATCTGAAATGTACCGTGTGTAAACGGTTGTACCATGATCCTGTAATAAGTGTTAAATGTGGTCACACGTTTTGCAGAAAGTGTGCCTTCAGAGTTACCCACTGTCCAATAGATGGCCAACTGTGTGATACATCACAGCTTGTTGTGAACAGGTAGGCTTATTATGGATATGCATCGGTAGCTTTTAGGCTATCAGGTCACCTATCAAAATTGTATGTCGGACAACTAGCTAAGGCGTTGTCGCAAGTAGTAGGGGAATAATCTGTTACACATGCATGTGTTTTAAAATACTGTTCAAGAATTGATGTACATTATGTAGTTTGTAGAGAGATATTATCAGGTCCAGTACACTCTGCAATTGAGCTATATATAGCTGTAAAGACAGTATCGGGTTGTTTCGCCCCAAATCCCATTCGCCCTAAGTTGTTTCGCCCTAAAACAATATATTTTTTCTTTAAGTCATAAATATCATGTTATATATCATAAAAACATGCATACACATGCACGTTCATACACACTAACATCAGCAAGTATGCATGCACTTACATACATACACATGCATGTAAATACAAACATACATGCCCATTTTTGCATAAGCACCAAAAATACAGATAATGTTCATACACTCTGCTAACCCATGTTGTGTTTGTTTTTGGAGAGAAAAACATCTATCAACAAAAAGGCAAATTGTAGTATACAAAAAATTCTCAAAATAAATCCATCCATCCATCTTTGATCAAACGTTTCATTGTATAATTTTTTTACTGATAAAGCTTTCTCAATATCATATCTGAATGCAAGAAACTCATTCAAACCATTTAAACTTAACTTCTGGAAACAGCATATATATATATTATAATATTTTGTATACAAAATAATATAGTAAATGGGCATAGGAACATTTTCAGTAATTCCAAAAAGTATTGTTTCCAACTTAAAATCTATGATTTTCCTTATTCTGCTATATAATCTCTCTTTTAAATCTTGCCATAGCTTTAAGGACTGTGGACATTTCCAGAATAGATGTTCTGTAGTTTCTATTTGTATTTTACACATATTACAGATATTGTCATTTGACATCCCAATAGTATTTACATAGTTTTTAATTGGGAGGATACAATTTTGTAATCTGTATTGAAACCATTGCAGTGTTGTGTCTTTTGTAACTTTAAAGACAATACTATATGAACTTTTCCAATCTATATTTTTAAAAATTTCTTTCAATACCCATTTTCTTTCAGCTGTATTTACTAATTTAATTTTACTATTTAATATGTCATACATGTCTTTACAACCCTTTTTTTTTCTTTATGATAATATGAATATGACTTGGTACGAAGGGCCTCTCCAAAGTTGTTTCTGCAGTTAAGTTATAATTTAATTGTTTACAACTTTGCCTAATAGACTGGCATATACTATGATAAATCAAGAAGTTTATATTGTATTTCAGTTTAAAATTTACAAAAGTTAAAAATGTTATTTTACTCTAATAGATCACAAACATTTTTGACACCCTGATCAAACCATTTTCGGACAAAAAAATACTTTTTGCCAATACCAAAGGAGGTATAGTTGATTTGAAAGAATAGTCTGTTGAATGTTTACATGTCATATTATTATTTTTTCATATTATTCCCTACAAGTGATTGTCCAGGAGTGCATCACGTATCCACCGTTAAAAATCGATATCGACTTGGAGCACATGATTTTTGTTGAAGGACTGTGTGTTTCTAAAATTAGAATTATGACCATCTCCAAACAATTCACCGTCCCGCTTCCGAAGCTTTTTTGTTGTGTTTTTTTTTATATTGCTTACATTACTGTTTTGTAAAATAATAAAACAATTGTAGCCTTTAACTTCGGTCAATACCTGGATTTATCTACCCGAGAAAAGATATATCAACCTCGGACTGCGTCCTCTGTCAATATATCTCGGGTCGATAAATCCAGGTATCAAACTCAGTCAAAGGCTATAATTGAATAATGTTGACCTAATCATTTGCTGAAAAAATAGCCAGTTCAGAGTTGATGATTAGCAGCTTTTAATGAGAACACTGTCTGGATACATAGATTTTGCCAACATTTTCAGAATACAAGGTATGTAATTATAAGTACACATGTGTAGCCTTAATTCCTTTACAGGGTTCTCCCCAGAATTTTTTTAAGCTGATATGTTTCATCTGCAACGAAAATTCAAGATGGACACGCTAATATAATACCTTATTATACCTTATCAAACCTAAGGGGGGGGGGTAATATTATGTTTAAAAGGTTACTTTTATTAACCAAACTTCTTTTGGTGAACATTAAAACCAAGGAAATAAATAAGTGTTTTTTATGTCTGAATTTCCAGCAATATTAT